AAAACTCATGAGAATGACTAAGCATTTAACAGCCTGAGCTAGACATCCTGTCTCCACTAAACATTTCTAATACAACAAATATCTAACCAATATCTATCTGACTAAAAAATACCTAACAGTGGTGTGTAGCTAAAAACATTCTCATGACCTCTAGTGACATGTCGTGACTTAAACATAAGAACATATTATGGCTAAGGCTACAGTTATACACGTCATAATAATAATATTAAACACCCTGTCTGCTGACAGTCATCAACTCTTCTCTCTAGTTATCCTTGACCAGATGTACCCTGTAGAAACTCATAAGCAGGCCTAAGCATTTAACAGTCTAACTAGACATCCTATCTCCACTAAACATTTCTAATACATAAAGTATCTATCCAATTTCTATCTGACTAAAAATATCTAACAAGTGGCAGCACAGTTGTGGCAAGAAAGTGGCTGAAAATGCACCACCAACGTTGCCAGGGCTGATTTGGAAGGGAAAGGTTATTATCTCAGTCTCATTTCACTTAACCCTCCATCCGTGAAAGAATTTGTCCTTGTATGTTGTTGCCTTCTAGGAAACTGAGAGGTTGCCCCAGGTAAATGATTCCCTTCCATTCCTGGCATGAAATGGCTAAAGCTAGCGAGCCAGTAGGTAGAGATCAGACTCTGTTGATACAATGTAAAGCAATGGAAAGGCCTTTATTATATCACCCTGAGCCCAGAAACCTATTTTATTATTAATAGGGGACAACCGGGGCAGCGTGGGTGGCTCTTCACATTTCCTCGGGTTTTTCTAAGGGTATGGGAGTGTCAGCGGACACGGCGTGGGGGAGCTGTGTGCCCCCCTGCCATGAATTGTGTCCTCATCGTCTGCGGTGAATGGCAGCTCTCAGCCCAGGCTGATCGCCAGGATCTTTCCCCCTAGCAATATAAAGACTTGCAGATCAGATAGGTCAGAGACTCACTGTGTGATTGATGGTGGTGTATCAGCCCCTGCAGTGGATGAGTTAGGAGTGTCTTTGGCCCTGTGTATGCAAATGGATGAATATTTGCTGCGAACTGCAGACAAACAACATGAAACAAAGTGTTAGTTACATTCATTGACATACTGTATATCCGATGGACATGGTGTCATCACTTTCCTCCACTATGCAAAAGTGAAGCCAAAATATCATAAATACAGCAGCTGCTGTTTTGCATTTTTGCAACCAGATGCTGTGAAGTAGTGACCACATAGTATTTTCTGTAGAGTTGTAGCAGTATTTCTTGCCTGATACAGCCCTCTTGATATTGATCCTAAATCCTACCCTCATTCTAACTGTGTTTCTCTCCTTCTTTCTCTGCAGTATTGGATAAATGAATATACTTCCAATCTGGGCATTGGAGTCTTCCACTCAGGCATTGAGATTTATGGCAGAGGTAAGACAGGGCCTGCTTTTACTCTGTGAAATTACAGTTTGTCAGAGCAGGAAAACACCTGTGCATCATCCTGTGATGATGAGATTTGTACGAGGCTGCTCTGAGAGACAGATGAAATCTGGCTTAAAAGATGGAATGAGGAGTTGTGCTCCTAATAACATGACCCCATTTCTCAGTGTTGAGTCACTACTAGCTCACTCTGTATGTGTTTTGAAAATGGAGAGGCAGAAACCAGCGTGAAACTAGATCAGTGGGAATTCTATTATGCCCCTGTAACCAGAAATATTGGCTTTGCACACCCCCAGCGTTCAACACTGTTTTCCATTATCCTGCTGTAAATACAGGGCAGAGAGGCCTGTTATTAGCCAGGCCTAATGATTTAAGTGCAGCGTGACAGTGAATAATTGCTTGTTTCTGTGTAATTGCAGTTGTGAAGTGTTTCCCTTTGAGGAGTTAACGTGTGTTTTGTATCTTTGTCCCTGCAGAATTTGCGTACGGCGGCCATCCATACCCTTTCAGTGGCATCTTTGAAATCAGCCCCGGCAATGCTGCTGAGCTGGGAGAGACATTCAAATTCAAGTGAGCGAGCTCAGTTTTGGCATACCCTCTGCTGTGATGCTAATGTTAATGGTGGAGCTAAGTGTGCTGTGATATTTTTCTCTGCTTTTAAACAGGGAGGCCATTGTTTTGGGCACCACAGACTTCACAGAGGAGGACATAGATAAAATCATGGAGGAGCTTGGTAAAGAGTTCAAAGGAAACGCATACCATCTAATGCATAAAAACTGCAACCACTTCTCTTCCTCACTGTCTGAGGTCAGTGTTTTTACTGCCAGATGTTTTATTTGTTCATACTGTACATATTGTTCACAAGTACTAAGATACAGAACTGTCCTGAGCATCAACTATAAATAAGCAAGAACAAAAGTTCCAATTACATAAAAGCCTCAAGTGAACTTTGTGTTTCGTTCTAACATTAGCATGCTGACCATGGTAAATGGAGTGCCGTAGGGATGATGTGTTTTTGTAGGCCAATCTAGAAGTCAGCATCACCCTGGTTCCCTCAACAATGTGGGATTTTTCCATAGGCTTTTGGATTACTGTGCAAAATAAACTCTGGGACAAACAATAGTTTATGACACACAAGCTACTAGCATGACTGTAGACTGTGGTAGTGTGCCCCAAACCTGAACTGCACACTAATCCTAAGCAGGTTTTTAGTATGTAGTTTGTTCATCTTCACAAGTGACAAAATGGAGGACCCTATCTTCAGCAAATACAACATGTTTAGCATCTGTTAGACTTTGGTTCTTCTTACCATGCTAACTCTGAGAGACGAGACAGTCCAAGTAACTTCAAAACAGTGCTGATTTATTCAAAGGATCACAGGTAAAATTAACATTACACGCTCAGGCATCTTGCACCTCCAAACTGCTCGCAGGCAGATG